AACAACAACAACAACAAAAGCCAAAACCAACTTTAGTAAGGGTGCTATATCATGAAAATCAGCAAATACTGAAGATCAGGGCTTAATGTATGGTTTTGTTGATTGCCTAAGTTTAAGAAAATGACAAACATGTTACTAATGCAGATTACATTTCAGTGTCCTGCTATAGCCACCACATTGAGAATAGCACCCCCAAAATGAGGACATAATCTTCCAGTATTCTAAAACTATTATGCATTTCAGCCAAGAAGTCACTCACATCATTGACAACTAACTTAAGTTCCAACATACATCTTCTGTTTCACTTTGATCTGACTCCTTAACTTAGAGGAAAATAACATTCATGCTGAAACGATACTTGAGCAATTGCAGCCATGATTGGTGCTAGGATACCGTGGTCTGGCAAAAATCAGCAGCATTTTGTGAGAATCATTTGTCTACGTGAAATTTACCATAAAGAGTATTGTATATTGGCCTGGCACCTGTAACACAGTGGTTATGGTGCCACCCACATACACCCAGGCTAGTGGGTTAGAATCCAGCGTGGGACAGCTAAACAACAATGACAACTGCAACAAGAAAATAGCCAGGCATTATGGCAGGCACCTGTAGTACCAGCTACTTGGGAGGCTGAGGGAAGAGAATTGCTTGAGCCCCAGAGCTTGAGGTTGCTGTGAGCTGCGATGCCACAGCACTCTACCAAGGGCAACATAGTGAGACTCTGTCTCAAAAAAAAAAAAAAAGAGTACTGTGCATTTTATTATTTATAAATCATTTGATATACATTGTTTATATCAATAAAAACATTTTTTTGAAACAGAGTATCACTCTATTGCCCAGACTATAGTGCCATGGCATCTGCTTAGCTCACAGCAACCTCAAAGTCTTGGATTCAAGTAATCTTTCTGCCTCAGCCTCCTGAGTAGCTGGCACTCCAGGCATCCACCACAGTGCCTGTCCAGGTTTTCTATTTTTAGTAGAAACATGATCTTGCTCTTGCTCTGGGTGGTCTCAAACTCCTGAGCTCAAGTAAAAAGTAATCCTCCCATCTTGGCCTCTCAGAGTGCTAGAGTTACAAGCATGAGCCATCCTGCCTTGGGTTTTGTTTTTTTTTTAAGGTGTTGTTTGTTTAAGACAGGGTATCACTGAGTTGCCCAGGCTATAGTGAAGCAATATGATCATAGCTCACTGCAACCTCAAACTCCTGGGCTCAAGCAATCCCCTTCCTCAGTCTCCCAAGTAGCTGGGACTACAGGTTTGGGCCACTGTATGATTATGTAATTTTTTGTGGAGAGAGGGTCTCACCATGTTGCTCAGGCTTAAAGCTGGTTTTTAGCTACTAACATTATTATTACTGAACAGGGGAAAAGATGAGCAATTGCATGCTCTTATAAAGTATTTCAAACATCCAGATACAATGAGCACAGAAAGACTTCAAGAGGATACAACATAATAAAATGTGTTAAGATCATTAGAAAGTGGTGGATTTTAAGTATTTATTATGTTTATTTTTAGTGAATGGATTTTATTGTAAGTTTGTATAATTTAATTTTTGATAATAGCCATGTTTAACCATATCACAAAATTTTTGAAAATGTATTAGCTCTTATGAGCCCACTCCAGCACATCACTTAAATAAAGATCTCCCTTCCTGCTATCCAAATCACATTCATATACACACTTGAACCTTTAAGACTTAAAATCTTCAAAGGAAGAAAGCATCCTTCTCTGGAAAACTTTAGAGATCTTTTATTCTTATATTCAGGGGCCACAAAGCTTCAAAAGTGGTATGTCAAGCCTCTATCTAAGCCCTCTGGTCTGTAGGAGATGGGGTGCTGTGCTGGAAAAATGCCATACATACACATACACAGGCTTCATGAAGTAATGTGAAGCTATGGTAATCAGCAACTTGGGCCTAACTTCTTGATTTGTTTTTGTTGGTTGTTAGCAAGCAAAAATGCTTCCAATAAGCGGCAAAACAAAGATGACACCTGGGACCCTTCACAGATGATGAAGAAACCAAAGCAGAGCCAGTTTGCCCCTATAACTGACTCAGAAGTGGCCTTGGTCAATGCCTATCTTGAACAGAGACGAGCCAGGCGTCTTTCTCAGTTTAACCAGGTGAATCAGAATCCACAAGACAGCGATACTACTGAGTGTGACAGTGAAGAGTCTAATTCGGGAGCCTCCTCTTGGAAGGAGAGTGAAAGTGAACATCACCCATCACCAGACAGTATGAAGAGGAGGAAAACAGCTCAGAGGCAAAGGAGTCTTGGAAATTACCAAATCAGAGAAAAGCCCTGCCTCCATTGCAAAGCCATGAGGACCAATGAATGGTTGACACGCCATTTCCCACAAAAGGCTTCAGGAACACCCCCAATGAAAGGGGAGCCTCAAGAAGAAAATTGCACACCTGACATTAACACAAAATTCAGTAAATTCTGAATTTTATCAAGTCTTTACCTTACTTGAGGCCAAATGAAAACAATGAATAATACATGAAAAATCACCAGAGGTGTAGGCAAGGAGACTTTTATAATAAAGTGTCTCTACTAACAACAAAGACATACTTGGGACCCAAGAGGTAAAAATTTCAGGCAATTCTTTGTTCAAAAAACATCCAGCAGCAAATCTGTGTATGGGACCACTGGAACACAGAAGATCTGTATCCACTCTTTTTTTTTTTTTATTCAAAAGAGCACAAGACAGATATTTTATGCCTTGAGTGTATGTATTTTGTTTATATCTGTAATACAAATAAGAAGGCTCTTTGAAAATATATTATTTATATTGAGAAACTATTTAAATTTATTCATATGTTTTGATTATCTGACTGAATGAGCCAGGTGGAGTTAGTGGGAATACAATTACCTGATCCTCTCTTAAGTTTATATTTTCAGGTGACTCTACTAAAATAGTATTGCTACATATGTCCACTAGGGGCTGGGGACGAGGAGGAGCTCAAGAGCCTGGAAGAGTAGGGAGGGGAGGCAGCATGACCTCGAAGGGCAGTTGGCTTGTAGGCTATTCATGGTGGTTGCTCAAAGGGCATGGCAAGTGTTAAAGAAAAAGTTATTCTGATACTTGTTAACATGGTAAGGGAAGACTTTACTCAAGCTATTGTAGTAGAGGCCAACTCTATTGCAATAGGGAATATGAATCCACTCAACTCCAAATACAACAGGGGCAAGTAATAATTTCTAGCCAAGTAGCCAGGATGAAGGCATCAGAGGATAGAAGATTGTTAAAAGCAGGATTTTCACTAAAACTGGGCAAAGAAAGGACAAGGCCAGGGTAGAGGCCTAGTTGAAAAGAGGGCTCAGGGGAACCTGACTCAAGTTTGGTCAAAGAGAGATTCTTTGTCACAAGTTACCCATACTCCAGGGATAATTTGGGAAGTGGGAACACCAGCTGGGGGAATTCAAGTGGGCCCAGGCAGATGGTTGGCCATTCTGGAGATCATTCTTTTATTGGATGGCAGGACCCAGTTGGGAGATAAAACAAGATCCGGATCCCAGAGGAAAGGAATGACAAGGACAAGATAAACCAGCTGGGATCTTGGTCATGGGGCTGGAGTTTGAAGAAAGGCTTAAGTGTTGGGCAGGATTTGGGTACTATATGTGGGTTAAGACTACAACCTAGTAAAGACTGAGACTTTCATGGGCAACCGGAAAGGGATGGGGACGAAGGCCAGAAACCTATGACTTTGGCCAGGAGTCATTCCTGCTAAGAGCAGATTTCTTAGCTGATTGCAACAGAGAGACCTGGGAGGCAATGTGGGAGCCCTAATCAGTGGGACCAGGCCACTAGAATCCGGGACATGTGGTAACATTACTGAGCCTGTTGGTGAATACCATCTCTTATGCAGATGGCCTCAGGATTAGAATAGGTCTGAAGGCACAGGAGAAAAGCAGGACAACATCGACCTTTCCGCAAAGACTTTTCCCTACTCCTAACAACCTCCTTCACTTTGTTTTCTCAGGCAGAACTCAACTTCCCTTCTTAATGCTCCACTGTACCCTATAAAGTATCTCAGCACTTTGGACAATTTGATGAATGTATTTGTTTGCAAGTCTCTGACGGTTGTATGTATTTATCCACCCTTCACGGTAGAGCCCATGATTTGTCTCTGTTGTCTCTCTGTAGCCTAGAACAGTGCCAGACAACATGGCAGGTAAATAATGCATTGAATCAATGTACAAAGGAGTTCATGAGTGCAAAAGTAGGAGGGAGCTGGGGAAATAGATGGAGGAATCAGGGCAGAGGCCAGTATCTACAACTTAGTGAATAATTCTGATATTTCTAGCTCGATATGATCAAGATGCTTAAATTATTGTTTATCCATGTAGTATACTCACTCATAAAACAAAACAAAGCAAAAAAGAACCAAGTTCAAAATATAGTAGTAAATTACAGAGGCAGGATTTAGACCCAAGACATCTGGCTTCAGAGCTTAGGCTCTTAATTGCTATAATCTTAATCTTTGCATTGTAGAAACCACAAAGGGGTTTCAGTTTAGCTACAATTGCTGGTCACACAAAGATCCAATTATTAAGACAATGAACATGGCCAAGGAAGAAAGAAATTTTTTAATACAATGGCTGTCCTTTTCTGTTTTTATTTTGTTTTTTTTTCAGACAGAGTCTTACTTTGTCACCCTTGGTAGAGTGCCATGGCATCATAGCTCACAGCAACCTAAGTGATCCTATTGCCTCAGCCTTCCAAGTAGCTGGGACTACAGGTGCCCACCACAACACCCGGCTATTTTTAGAGATGGCCACACAGATGTCTTGCAAAGAGAATGGGAGAAGCTGCTTCAAATCATCCCTCTCAATAGTAGAGATCATGGGCATTTAGAGGAGGGGCCATGTGCCTTAGGGCGGGTCTCGGTGTAACTAAAGGGGCTACATGCATTGGGGGTAAGTTGTTGGAGATGGTGAATATGGGCATCAGGAAGTCTGCCTAGGAGTCTTTAGAATCTCAGCTCCTTTGTCTTGCCGAAAATCTAGTATTTCTGGGAAACAACTCAAAGGTCAAGTAGCTGGTTAAGGAAGAGGATTATAAAAAAATGTAGGGGTCTAGGTGGCTCCTGTGGCTCAAGGAGTAGGGTGCTGGCCCCATATATCGGAGTTGGCAGGTTCAAACTGGCCTGGGCCAAAAACTGCAAAAAAAAAAAAAAAGTAGGGGGCCATTGAAATTTTTTTATGTGGCCAGTTACCATTATACTCTAAAGACAGAAGATACTGATTAAAAGGCAGGTTAACCATCACCTCCCACATAGGCATAAATGATATCCAGGCAGATAAAAACTCACCAGGGTCTATAGGAAAAGGACAATAGCCGTTTTCCAGATTA